TACGTACGACTAAACTGACATTTAAGATACTTAAATATTTTTAACGTATATAAGATTTTATTTCCTTCTCCTCTAATGGTTATTCTACATGAACACATTCCTGCTGCCTTCAGGTCCTCTGTTTATTTGCAGCTATGCGTTTGCATCTTCAGAGAATGCAGCGGGTTCTGTTGTAACCTCATGCTAGTCAACAAGAGTTTGGGCTCAATGCAAAAAATTAAAAGAAATTCCACAACAGAATTCAGTGTATGTCTACATAAATACAAATATTTATATTCTAAATAGCAGGAGTTAACTCAGTTAATCAGTTACGAATAATAATTTGTCTGTGTAACCTATATTTAACACTATTTTATGAGAAGGTCCCAACCTGCTTATTTCTATAAAATTCCTAAAATTTTTAAAGAACTTCCAAAAGGTCAGTTATTATTATAACCTTGCCAGGAGGACACGAGCAGTATCTGTGTCCTCGCACTTAACACTCCAAAAGGAATCCCCTATAATAAAGGATATATAAAAATATATATATGGGATATATATAAAGGATCTCTAGGATATGTATAAAGGGTCTATATAAAATATATAGATAAAACCCTTTATGAAGGAAGATTTCCTTATGAAAGAAGATTCAAGTTTAATGTTTACCTGAACAAATAGCAAGCCAACGGCTACTAAAAGAGTTCCTATAGGCAAAGCACCTTGTCTGGGAAATGCCTTAACTCTATGCAGGTTCAATAAATGAGACACACGTGAATGACAGGAATTAGAAAGGAAATAAATGCATCAGCATTTCTCACGGCATCACAAGCTACAGACTAACACCTACAAGGGTTATGATACCATCATTTGCCTTCCACTCATCCAATTACCCAACTGATGACAGGAAAAGATTTTTGTACGTTTTTATTTCACGGTAATTCCCCATTTTTGGAAGACTTTCTACACAACTGTTTCCTGAGGTAGACAACTCCAGGCTAAAGATTCTTGCCCCATCGTAAAGCAATACTAATCCCATTGCCAAATGGGAGGAAAAGAAAGTTATAAAGTTCAGACAAGCCATTCATGCGCACGCTCTGCCCACGCGGCTACTCCCGTGCCAGAGCGGGGAGTTCACAGAGTAGCCTCTTTCCTTATGACGGAAAAGAGAATGCCATGCTAAGCTGCCCCTCCTGTTGCCCATCGCCGTGCTCCTGTTCTCCTCTAATGCTGCCTTGTTTCTCCCGGCCCACGACTGTCCTCTTTCGAGGTGCCTCATCAGTCATCTCACCCTGGAGGGGAATTTGGTCAGAAGCCATGAATGGGAGATGAAAATTACAATTCCCCAAGAACACCACGGAGGTTTTTTCCTAAGGGAAATTTTTTTTCAGGTTTCAATGATTACCATTTTATGCAAAAGAAATGCCTCTTTTTAAAAAGAAAAAAAAAAGTGAAAAATCTTGTTTTCAATCCAATACAATTTCAATAGGAAAACCCCCAACCATCCATTCAGCCTGACACTTCTTCAATAAGAAGAATTCAAGCTTGCAGAATATAATTGACCAGCATGGAATTTTGCCAGGATACCAAGATAAACGTAATTACTCATATTAAGAGTGTTAATTAATTGTTTGTGAACACAGATAATTGGCTGCTTGGTTTTATAGCTCCTTGGAAAGCCAACAATTCCATTAGACATCGCTGTCCAGCAACCGTACTAGGACCAGTGAGCTGTAATCACCAGAACTCTGAAACTAAGCCAGTGAAAATCAGGGAGAGGACGATCCATGAAATCCAAAGAAAAAAAAATAAAAAGGGATACCTTTTTGGACAAAAAAAAAAAAAAAAAGAAGGATACCTTGTAAAAAAATACTTTCTGGATGAAGGAGGGAGTTCTTTGGTTGGGGTTTTGGTTTTTTGGGGCTTTTTTTTTTTGGTTGGTTGATCATTTATGCAAATTTTTCTACTAAAGAGCTCTTTAAAAAGACCAAAGAGCTGCCAGATGGAGTTAACCAATATCAGTTATGGATCCGTGACCTTGATACACGCTACCTATGACACACAACGCAACCAAAAAGTGTAAATACTGAAAAAAAAAAAAAAATATACTGGTAAAGCTACGTGTGAGCACCGCGATAGCCTGATGACAAGGGCTTGCTCCACACCTGCCTGGGCTTATCGATTAGCACCCAGCGCGGGGAGCGCCGCGTTCTTGGCAGACAATAACTCCGTCCTCACTAACCACGGATGGGCTAAACAAGCTATTAATGACAGGTTGCTCTTCATCATTTAAAACGGACAGACTCTGCTGCTTGACCACAAGGACAAGCAGGTTACTGCTTTGAAATGTTATACAAAAGACACAAATAAGGTCTCTCTAATGAATAAACCACACGTATGGCTCCATGGTTCTTTTTCAGTAGGGCTATTAATAGAAAATGGGAGCTATACAGGGTTGCAGATACATAATCATCTATTCCAAGGTTTCTACTGGTTGTTAAAACTTGTTACTTAGAAAGGAATTAGCAAAGTATAATTCGGCAAATGCCCATCAACATTTCTGGAATACAAGCCTAATTACTCTATGCTTAGAATCTTGTCGTTTCTTTTCTTAACTAAAAAAAAGATGTTTCTGAGCAGATGCAGCTATTGGAGGTCAGCGGGGAGCGGGGCTGTGACCCACTGGCACAGTCAGCCACACACTGGCCAACCAAGCGACCCTTCCTCCCAGCACCAGCGGCCAGCACGGCTCCTCCAGCAGGGCCAGAAACAGCCCCACAGACCTGCCAGGAAGTCCTCCCATCTACAGAGAAAAATATTTTTGTTTATAAAAGCATCTGGTTTTAAAACTGGAAGCAATTCCAAATAACGATTTGTAAAATATTTACCAATTTTTTTAACAGCACCTGCTGTACTCCTCCTCTTTCACTCCCATGTGTAGCCAGATACCAGGATGGCAGAAGCTAAACAAGGGCAAGCAGTAAAAGATAGGAACACGCAGAACCCATAAGGATTGTATCACAAATTGTAAAACACCTTTTCTTTACAGAAGGGATTAAATAACAGATTACCACATCAATATAAAGACTCTTCTTTTTTCTTAAGAGGGAAAAACATCCTTACAAGCATTTGGAGATGCGGTAATTCGAAGGAGTAGAATCAAAGCAGTCATTTGGCTTAACTCTTCTGAGGAATATCCCTGTAATTTCTTGGAGTCCAAAAAGTTTTTGTGAGTTTGTCTGACATACCACTGAGATATACAACAGTTTCCAGCATGACTATCCCCATCTGTGGGTGTTCCAGGAAACAGTTAATTTCCTTGAGCACCCGTTTGCAGGATTTTCTAAGGTCACAGGGAAAAAAAAAAAAAAAAGTCCCAAACCTGAAGGTTTTTCACAGATCCTTCAGACAAATACGAAGCAGCTAATGTATTTAATGGAGATGAAATTTTATTCAAATATATAGTGAGTTACCCTGTAAAGAAGTTACGGTGTCATTACTCTGCAGAGGATCTTCCCAAGGCACCGTCCCTCAAACCCCAGAGAAAGCCTGAGCGCCCGCGAACGCTGCTCCCAGTCCAGCCCCAAGCCCAGCTCCTCGGAACCCACGGAGCCTCCTCCCGCTGCGCCCGCCGGTTTGAGGTGACGTGATAAATCAGAGCTACAGCTCCAGCTATTGCAGCACTCCCAATGTAGAAAAAGTACCAGTCATGGTCATCTGTCAAGACTACAGCATCTTTATAATGCATTAGAAAAATTCTCTGAACCCATCAGATTACAACTACCTGACACCGGCAGAGGAATGAAACATTTTAAAAATTTATTTAAGAGATTCAACTAGCATGCAAGATACCAATGAAAACAGCAAACAAGATTAATTTTCAAACTGCTCTAAGAACTATTCATAACACTCAGCTATTTATTCCATTTACAGATTCAAAATACTAGTTGCAATGGAACATTTAATATGCCACCATCATAAAGGGGAAACTGTTGACAACTATGCTAGAATATACATCCTTTTCATCCTGCTTTTACTCCAAGAAGATATTGGTACACAAGCTCCTACAAATCATATTTCCCTAGCGATTCCCAAAATGGGAAGCAACAACAGAAAAGCAATTTTTTTCAAATGCTTGTGCCATACATTGTGATAAGATTTTATTTTAATAGCAGTACAGAACTGTGTATGTTATTCAAATATCATACGAAAAAAATTAACATGAATTTAACACTCCTCATGATGTCCCGAGATATATGTGCCATTAATAGTGAATATTTTGATTTAATGGGATTTAATAATCTGTTTAGATGAACTACTTAATGTTCTGATGATTGCTGATGGTAATATCCTGGGCTCAATGAGTTTCAGACTTGTGACAATATTGTATTTTCTCCAGTTTTGATCAACTGATTAGTTTTTAATGCTAAGTCTGTCTCGCTATCACTTGCGGTTTGAATATGTTTACTTAAACCAAAAATATTTTGCATCTCAATTATTATTTTATACTGCAGCACTGAATGGAATTTAAGTCAATACATTATTCATAAAGCAAAGACAAGAGAAAAAACAAAGCTGTGCACTTCTTTCAAAGACTTCAAATTACTAAAACATACCATATTTATGCATGCAATATTTGATTGTGTGTGTGTCTTTTTTTTTTTTTTTTTTTTTTTTTTTTTTTTTTTTTTTTTAATCACAAGTTTGTTGTTTTCAGATCAGGATATGCCAAAAATCCAACACCAAACAATTTTTGTTTATAATTAAGGCAATCATCAATCCAAGGATTGTAGTCCATTTTATTTCATCTCTACATCAAAAAAAGTAATTTAAAAAAATTAAAATTCCCTTGAAATGGTAAGATAAATGAAAATGTAAGTGCCTTCACATAATAACAGTAAGCTGACCCTCTGGGAAATGGTTGACTTTCTCAATTCAAGGTATTCAAAGCTCATTCAAAAGTGTTCATTTGGAATGCAGATATCAAAGATGATGCAAATGTTCAAGAGAAAATTAAAACTTACCAGATGTTCTAATCCAGCTTTGATGTTTCCAGAGTCCCTGTAACAGAAGAACAAAAGTTCTAAATAGTTGCTAAACCCTTGTCTACAACGATTTGTGTTTAACTTGGAAATGTCAAAGCCATGTAATTTCTTGAGTAGGTAAAATTTTTACTTTTAATCTTAATCACTGCAATACCTGAAATGTATTGATTATCCTAATGCACAACGACAGAATAATTTAAAACCTCAAATTTTACTTGCCCTGAAATTGCTATAAACTGTAGCAATGCAACAGGACACTCATCTAAAAACCAACATTTTTAAAGATAATAATCCCCCTATTCACACTGGAAATAATAAAACAAGAGTACAGAATGCTATTTATCAAATCCACGTTCAGGTGCTCGTGGTTCTGCTTTGCCACGACTTCAATAATAAAATACTGCGACTCTTTACAAAGGTGATGGACTGAATAAATTATCTGTTAATTAACTAGGTCGTGTCAGCCATATTGAAACTTTGCATTTGACTCCTGACAGCTGAAAAAAAAAATCCAAATGTACAGCTACAAGAATAAGAGGTAAAATCAGATAAGGACATCTGCAGAAAAATGGACCAAACCGTCAAATTAAAAACCCTGAAAAGTGAGGAGAATTCAGAGTGAAAATTAATCCTTAACACATCCTACTATGTAAAAAAAAAAAAAAAGGAAAAGAAAATTAAAAAGTCCCCGAATTCCAAGGCACCAAAGGCAGCTGGTTTCTGCTTCCAGTGACTCCAGGTTCTACCTGCTTCCAAAAACGCAACGGTGCCTTTTGAGGAAGATGGGCTGTGACCATGGCAAACAAGGAGAAAGGCTTCAGGTAATCAGTCCTTGAACTATATAGTGTAGGGTGTATTTAAAATATCAATTTTTCCACAAATTATTCAACTCTCTCAAGCCACAGGAGCAGAAGCCCCAACCACATTCCTCTAAGACAGCGAACCGTGCGAGATTTCTGTTCTCTTAGTAGAGGCAGGGCAAGGCAGAACGTGAAGTAAAATCTGAAACGGTCTAAGGACTGAATAAGGCTGCATTCAATTACACATTTTACCACTTTGTGTAGTGTATTTTAGAGACTTTTTACAGAAAAATTTTATTTATAATTTCATAAACTTTTCCAAAAAGTCCACTGGGCGTTTTTGTTCTAATACATCATTAATTCAGCAAGAAAAATAAAAAAAAAAAAAAGACACACCTTCCTTACACCGTTATTTTATGGCTTGAAACACAAATTTCTTATTCACGGCCATACGATATTTAAATAGAAATCATCTCGCCCATCTCTTTTTGAGGTGCTAAATGGCCTTAAAGAATTTAATTACTTTGTAAGCAGGATCCAAGCAGCTGATGGAAGGAGCTCCCAACTAATGGTATAAAACCTGCCCTGTTAGTGGTCTGTCTCCTGCGCCGTCCCTGTCATGACTTCATCAATATTTGTGCAACTCCTTCTGCCCTGTGCTGAAAGCAGCCTTAATTCAATTATAGGTCTCAAAACTGATAAAAAAGGTCCTGAAGTGGAAAATGCGAAGAGATTATTGGCAAATGAATAAAGATTTGTATCGAGCTAACACACAAGAGTACAGCAGGGTTGGGTTCTTTTTTAATCATTCCCTGTCTTAAGTCTTCTGGGAACAGTGAGTTTCCCTTCCCCTCATGCAGCACATCGATTTCTGAATTAGACTGCAATATTAAATAATTAATATACTTGCCATGATTGATGTTTTGCATTAGTCGAATATTAGGTTATCAATCAAAATCCACTTGGTTTAATGTAGTAATATTGAAAAAGTGTCACTGGCTGTTCATCCAATTTGTAGTTGAGGCAGCACAGATAGTAATATCGGTGTAACACAAGGCTCTAACGCAGGAAATGCAGTGGTTGAACATACATAAGGCAAACATTATCAAACTAACCAGGACGAGGTTGGGGCTGTCCTAAATAAACCTTGTGGCACCTGTCACTTCCAATGAAAACCTCTTTCCAGCCGGAGGCTGCCGTGCATCCATCAGCAATGACAACTGGTGAAGCCATGGCATAATTTTATCTTTCGAGTTAAATGATAATTATACAAATAAGACTCCCGCTAATATTATATTTCTTCTATGCAAAAGTCAGACCTGTTGCTACAGCTCAGTCTAGCACCCAGCCTTAGATGTCTACCGAATAAATACTTTAGATATTAATACCAGAAATCACTACAAATAAAAGAGCAGTTTTATGCACAGCCAGTATTAGAATACTCCTACAAAAGAACACCATAAAAAAAATTATCTTCATTTTCTAGCCTTATCAGGTAATAATTTACTCAATTTTTACACCACACCACATCGTTCCCAACAAGCTACACACCTGCCTTTCAAACCATCTCCAGCATGCCACTTTTTTTAAAATTTTTGTTCATTAGGCAAGTTTGGTTTTATTCTTGAGTTTTTCTTTTTTCCATCAGGGAAGCTCTGGAACTGGTGTTTCCTTGCTACAGTCAAGACTTTGTGCTGTAAAACACTAGTTGACGTGCGTGTATTTTAAAATCCTACAGTAAGCATAATACTGAGGCTAATCTAGAGGTCAGCTGTTGGTAATGCCAGGAGAAAAAGTTGCAGCTGAGCCAGATTTGAACCATGGCCATGAGGGACCTGTACCAACAAGGCAGGAATTCCATTAAGCACGTGTGGCCAGCTTTTGGATTACTTAAAACCACAGCGTGAGTAACTAATCGAGGGAGTGTTAACTTAATCTGTGCCAGTTCACTAAACTAAAATTATTCACTAGCACCTGCTGGAAACCTGGACATATATTCACGTTCATAAAAATAGGTCCCCAAATAAAACCAAACGCTTATCGAGGGAGCTGAGTAATATGCAGTATCTTCAAAATATCCAAACAATAACTTAAGATTTCACAAATAATTTAATTTTTAATAAAATTATAGGAGTTTCACACAGGACTTGTACTTGGTTTTGCACCACAGAGCTAAATAAAATGTTCATTTAGACACAGTACTCTGGAGCAAAGCACCCTCGAGGAGCTGCAGTGCTAACATCACACTACAATGCCAGTCACTTATTTTATAACTGTGAGGCTACATAAACTGAAAAAAAAAATAATCTCAGAGATGTTTTTACTTATTAAAACCGCCATCTCAGTTTGTGAGTAGGTCTCTTACACTCTTTAAAATGACAAACAATTATGAGAGCCGAGTTTAACCTGTGCTGCTATTCAGACCAGTAGCATCAAACTGGGAAGTATCCTGCAATTTTTAAAAAATTTATTCCAAACTAAAACAAAGCACTTCAGTCCACATTCCCCAGTTCCTCTTAAGTTGCCATCAACTCATTCTCAACGCTTCCCTTACACCCATAGTTAATAATTTTCTTTGCCATAGTTTTTAGAACCCACAGGACATAGAATCATTCTCTGGACTGCCTCTCTCTGTGGATATTCTAGGATAATTCAGGCTGAAGGGCTCTGCAGCCCTACCGCCCGCTCAAGCCAGGCTCAGAGGCCAGACCAGGCTGCTCAGAGTTTCATCCAGGCTGGCCTTGAAAGCCCGGGCTCCCTGGGCAACCTGCCCTGGTGACTGCACGTCCTCACTGGGAGCATTTTTTTTTTTTTTTTTTTTTTTTTTTTTTTTTCCCCCCCTCTTCTTCTCCAGTCTGTGCTGGTTGTATCTTTCCACCCACCACATACCACTTGATTCTCCTCACCGGGCTGGGTGCCCTCAAACCATCCCCTCTCCAGGCTGAGCCCCCCCCTGCCCCTCAGCTCCCCTCACAGGGCAAGTGCTCCAATCCCTGACCGTCTTAGTGGCCTGAACTCCACACTGAACGCTCCCAATGGCTCTTTGTTTCTCCTCAGAAGCTAAATGAATAAATAAATCACCTCATCACTAGCAAGGCCTTTGGCAGAATCCCCTCCAGTTCCACGACGTTAGCGACAAGCTGCAAAGGAAAGGCCATACACACATTGTGGGTCAGGCTGCTCCACACTCAAACCAAGGGCTTCTAACTCCACCCTCCAGGAACGCCAACGTGTCAGAGCTGTGACCAGGCAGTGTTATCCCAAGTGGTTACAACTTCCACAGAGCTCTCTCACTCTTAAAATTTTCTTGGATCATTCAACAAGCACATCACATAATACTTTCCAAAAAAATCTGCCAAGTATTATTTTAAATTAATCCCTTTTTTCATCTCTTGAAGAGCCTCATAGTGAAAGACGTTCTTGGAACAACCTCATGGTTCCCGTTACGTTAACGTGCTCCCACTGCTGTCACCTAACAGCCTTCCCTACAGATCTTCCTGAGTAGCACACGCTCGCTATTCTTCTTTAGCATGTTATCAATCCCCATTGTATTTGAGATAAACAACCTCAAAACAAACAGCTGAATCTCTTCAGAGGTCTTCAGAGCTTCTTTATGAACTTCAGCAGGTGACAATATATTAAACACTCACCAATATATGAAATGGGGTAAACGTGTGTTTTGCTAGTTATCAGGCCTAGCATAAAGGACACAGCCAGCATAACGATGAACCAGTAGCCAAATTGGTTTTGATACAAAAGGGTCAGTCCATGGGTGAGCGCTGGGGGTACAAACAAGTCAGTCAGATGATACATAACCGACATCAATCCCACTGACCCCAACAACGACACCGCACAGCCAGCAATGGGTGGGATAAATGGTGACATGCAGTCTCCCAAAGAAGGGATGGGAGACAACCGAGTCAACAAGCCAAACACATCAGACCAAGGAGCCACACACTGAATCTCTACATATCCCGCGCTTACAAAAGCCAGACCTGAGTGGAGCCCAGTCCCAGGGAGGCGGGAGGTCCTTCCCCAGCAGGGAACTCTGCACAGGGCATCCCCCTCACAGACAGACACTGCCTCTCCTGTGAGTGGTTTTATCCCTACGTGGGACACCTGACCTTGGGTTACTTGATGTGGGACACCTGGGGCTCATTTACCCAATGGCTCTGTCTGCCAGGCCGCCCCACCCTGGGGGGAAGCCTAAAGGGAA